TGCTTTTTGGATCGAAACATAAATTTTCATTTGTTTTTAAGTCTTTCACTTGCTGTTGGAGGTCCATTGATTTGGTTTATTATATTAATTCATAATTTTTCACGAATTGTATCCTGCACGATTTTTATGTTTTAGTATTATTGAGTTCCCCAATCTAAATTCTTTTGTGGGAATATATTAAAAAATATATATTTAAATTCATACACTGTAGCATAAATTCTGTTGATCAAATAATAGAAGAAAAACAAAGAGGAGCATATGTATGATCAGTAGTCCACTTTCATTAAATAATATAATTACAACTGCTAGATCAAATGAAATTACATATAACATATATGCCATGTTCGGTAAGAGGATTGGATAGTTTTAGATATGAACAAAAATAAACTAAAATCTTGTTCATTATATTATCTATTCCTATCCAATACTGCATATCAAATAGGGATGTATTTACATTGGAGCTGGAGCACAATCATGAGATGAAGATGGAGAAGGAAAAGGAGCAGCGGCAGACATTGGACCAGCAGCCGCAGAAATAGGGCCAAAAGCTGTACCAGAACTTTGAATCTGAGCCATTGAACGACGTGAATTTGCTCTTTGAGATTTGCACAGATCAGGTAAAAATGCGCCTGTCAATTGTTAGCAAATACCATATTAAAAGAGGCAAACAATCACTGCATCGAGTTCCCATTTATGAAAATTATTTACATATCATGACTTCAATAAAAAAAATTATACGGGCTGTTCATGAGAGTGGTCGTGTTGAAACAAAAAAAATAATAAATTTGTTCGATAATTAATAAGTTAAACTTTTACATGAGGTTGTTTTGGGGGGTTGGGGGAATTGGGTGTTGTGAAGATCACCTTCTCCGAGAGCCAAATTGTAGTAAAGATCAACAATGTTGGGACAGTTCTGGTAACACTGTGGGGAGCATAGCTTGGCGGTGAACTGAGAGTCGAGGAGGGTATCTGATGAGATCCCGACAGATTTCCTATCAACCCCACATACATCCACGCATTCATCAGCCTCAATATAATCGTGCAAGTTAATAGCAACCACTTCAGATGTCTTGCATTGGAAGTCCATAGTTCCATCATTTGATGCGTAGGTCTCTAGCAGGCATCGTTTCCCAGAGGACGCGATTGAGAACGAACACAATCCAACTGGCAATTCCTCACAGATTAATTCCCCTGCATTGAAGAAAGAAGAGAAACAAAAGTGTTCGTCAGAACGAGATCAGACAATAGTTCGAGAAAATTAATGGAAGAATTTGTATTGTGGATACCAAGTGCTCCCTGGAAGAAGAGAGCAAAGGCAAGGAAGACGATCATTTTCATTTTTGTACAGAAGCTTGAATTTTTGCTTTGGTAGAGTTGATTTTTCCTGTGGCTTGATGATGTTGGGAATGGAGTGAAGTGATTTCCTGCAGAACTTAAATGCAGAAGACGGTTTTTATAGTTAGTTTATGGGGTGGGGGCATAACAAGATGACACGGTAGCGGTAGTGTTTGAGAGGTATTTTGGCATAATGTATGGTATTTGGTTATTTGGTAGACGGTCCGCACAGGTAAAGTTGCCTACCTTTGTACCATTCTGAATTGTTTTCTGAATGCTGAATTGGTTTTCTTAAGACGCACTTTAAGTTTGGCATGCTAATATCAATATGTAGAGATGGATTTGGGACTCACCCCCCAACTCAGGCCCAAGAACATTTTTTTAAGGTATTTTTTTTTTTTTTTGGGGTAAAAAAATCAGTTTTTTTATGGTTAAATTTTTTATTTTTTTTCCCACGTCGTAGCCTGGTTTGAAATTTTGAAAGCTGGTCTTGGATCCAATTCTAAATATATGTAATCATATTTAGTTGGAATGAGATTACGCCACATTTAGTGGGAATAAAAATCAAGATTTTATTTTAAGTCTAATTCAAGAATTAATTTCAATCACATATTTAATAGGACTCACAACTTTTGAACCATACATTTCATTAAATTTTATCAAAATATACTAAAAAATTTAATAGTAGTCCCTACCAAACAAGGGTGATACTTCAATAAGCAGGGGTGGTGCCGATTGAGGATAAATTAAGATACGAAAGGCTTAGGTAGTTGGGACATATTTTATGTCAATCCAAAGAGCTTTCCCTCATAAGAGGAGACAATTTTAGTGGAGCAAGTTAGAAGACGAAAGTTAAGATAAAAATCAATTAGGTTTGTGTTAGTTTCACTTATCTAGTTAGATCTCTTAGTAGATTATACCACGATAAGATTTTTTGCGATATGGGAATATAAAACTTGGTTTATTATTGTTATTGTAATATGGTCAATTCTTGTAAGTATACATACCAAAAAATTGTGTATAAAAAAATGTATTCTTAATTTCCTCTTATAAAAAAATTATTATAAATTACTATTTTTTAGTACTTCGCCTTGTCTGTGGGCAACGGTATCTCTTTTGTGGGTCATTGTGGGGCAGAATGGAATGTTAAGGATTGTTAATGAACTAAACATGATACTTCGCATAGTTAATCAAATGATTAAAATTGAGTTTATTGAGCAAAATATATTCTATGCTTGCTGTACACTCTTGTGTATAGCAAGTTGTACACCCCTCTCATATGAGGGGGCCCCACGATTAACATGGGGCCGCCTCATGTGAGAGGGGTGTAAACTTGTACAACTATTTTTGTTGTGCAATCAAATTTACCCGCAAAATACTGATGTGTACGGCTCCAACAACAAAAAAATTATTTTGATCTATATTTTTATTTATTAACTGGTTTTGCTGATATTTTGTCACTTCTACAGACAAAAGCTTTTTTTCTCACTACGTATACCACGTCAATTACTTTGTTCATTATGTTGTGCAGAAGCTCCTCGAGAAATCTTGATCCAGGCTTAGAAAAACCAACCAAACAAATGCCAATCGACAAGTTCAACCCAAACCAAACCAACACTTTAGTTGCCTCAAATTTTCACCCTCACACGGTTGCCTCTTTTAACCCATGAAGGATCAATGGAGTCGGCTGCCTCTTTCTCACTAACTCTCCTCTCTATTGTAAGTCAATCCACACACACTGCTGTTGGAATGAGGATGTATAAAGGATCAATTAGGTCGCCAATTTTGGGCCTAACTAATGGGCCTCTAACAAATGGCTTTATATATATCAAATCCAACTCAACAATTCCAACCACAAGTTGGGCCCTCCAAAAATGTCGGTTGTTTCCGGGTTGAGCCAAATCTATGTTGTTGATAAATTATCCAATATCTATTTTAAAATATTGTCCGAATTTATTGGGTATCAAAACCTGACACATTATTCCATCAACTTACTCTTCGTCAGCATCACTTCAACTTGTTGGCATCTAGGTAAGCCCGAAATTACCTCGGACACATCAAATGTGTCTTTAAATGTGAAACGTACATTATTATTATAAGAAGTCTTACAGAACATAAGCGAAACAGACAAAGATTCCTTCAATCTAATTCCATATGTTATGACAAAGTACATCTCAAAGATTCAAACAATACCATTAAAATGTCATTTTGCTAAGCACCCCGCCCTACACCCTACCCCCCAAAAAAAAATAATAACAAAGACATAAATACACTATAAATACCATCTTCTGCATGTACTCTCTGCAAGCATATAACTTAAGTCCATTCCCAACATCATCAAGCCAAACTTTTTTAAGTACAAATCAAGCTTCTGTGCTAAAATTAAAATTTTCATGTTCCTTGCCTTTACCATCTTCCTCCAGGGAGCTCTTGGTAATCTACAACACAAGTAATTTAATTAGTTTGCTCGGTCGATTGACCAGTCTCACGTAACGACCAACATTTTTGTTTCATTTCCCTCTTGGATGCAAGGGAATTATTACGCGAGGAATTGCCAGTTGGATTGTGTTCATTCTCAATCGCGTCTTCTAGGAAGCGATGCGTATTAGAGACATACTCATCAAATGATGGAACTATGGAGTTCCAATGCAAGACATCTGAAGTTGTTGCTATTAAATTGGACGAGTATAGTGAGGCTGACGAATGTGTGAGTTCATGTGGGGTCAATCGAAAATCAGTCGGGATCTCATCAGATGCCCTTCTTGACTCTTAGTTCACTGCCAAGCTATGCTCACCGCAGTGTTACCAGAACTGTCCCAACATTGTCGATCTTTACGACAATTTAGCTCTCGGAGAAGGTGATGTTCACAACCCCCAATTCTCTTTCAAACAACCTCGTCTAAAGGCCTTACTTATTAAATAACAAACAAATTTATTAATTTTAAGTCTTCAACAAGATTGTAGGGGCGGAGTGTTGGGGGACAAAAAAATTTTCTAATGAACTGATACATTGAAAAAAAAATTCAATTGAAATTTTTTCTTTTTTCTTTTTCTTTTTTTTTTTTACCAAAAAATTTTACCTTAAAAAATAAAATTAAAATTGGGCTCGAGGGGCAGGCCTGAGCTTTCCTCCATTCACCTCTAGCTCTCGCGAACTGCCCACAAACATTTTTTATTGAAGTCATAATACGTACACAATTTTCATAAATAGATACTCGACACAGTGATAGTTAGCATATGCTAATATGGTATTTGATAACAATTAACAGGAGCATTTTTATCTGATCTGTGCAAATCTCAACGAACATATTCACGCCGTTCAATGGCTCGGATTCAAAGTTCTGGTGCAGCACTTGGCCCTATTTCTGCTGCTGCTGGTCCTATGTCCGCTGATGCTCCTTCTCCATCTTCACCTGTAGATTATGCTCCAGATCCAATGTAAATACGTCCCTATCAGCTATGCAGTATTGGACTGGATTATACAATTAATGATCATGATTTTAGTTTATATTTGTTCATGTCTATTACCATCCAATACTATGTGTACCGAGCATGCCATATATGTTTTATGTAATTTCATTTGATATCACAGTTGTAATTAAGTATACTATTTAATGAAAGTAGACTATATCTTATTATACATAGGTTCTTCTCTATTTTTTCTAGAGTTATTTGATAACAACAATTTATACTAGTGTGTGTGAATTTAAATATTTTCTTTATAGATTTCGACAAGCATAAATGGATTGGAGAACTCAATAAAACAATGCAAAAAATGAAAAGAAAATCACGTCAGGACAAATTCATGTTTCAATCCGAAAAGCACTTTAAAGACAGTTGATAAACATCCCCTTCTTCACATAAGTGTCATTGTATTCAGCTCAGTACTTTGTTAGCAGAGAGATTTTCAATTTTCTTGCCAGAAAGAGTTTAGTAATCGATATATATCTTCTTAACCCAAAATAAATTTTATTGGATTTTCCAACTGAATTTACAAAAATTCATAATTGTGAGTTAATCCGCACCTGTTGTCTCCAATCTTTGATGATGTGGCATCTTTTAATTGGGAGACATTGAAGGGCACAAGAAATATGGACACCCCCCCCCCCAAAAAAAATTCCCATGACATGAACTAGCCTGTGTGGCTCAACAGTTGGCCCAAAAATGGGGCTTGGCCAGAGCCTCGAGGTGTTCCGGCTCGAACTTTTTCAGGACTATGCCAGTGGCACCGAGCGGAAGAGCCAAATTGACACCCTTATGTTCAAGGCATGCACTTATATTACGGACAAGTTGGTTGGAAAATGATGGAAATGACATGTTGTGCAAAAGTGGAAATGGGAATACAAATAATAGAAATGAAACGATAATAACATTACACTAGTCTAGTTTTCAACCTTATTTATACTTAAGCTATATTCGTCAAATAT